ATCAAGTGTCTGGTTCAAAACTTCTCCCTTTTATGCTCTATGTGTAGTCTTGTGATTGGCTGGGGAATTCCAGAACTCATAAAGTAGAATATTTGGGTGATCTACAATGTTTTTTGAGTATTCACCCTCTGTGACTGAGAATAAGCCAATTCACCTTCTTTGGCTTTAGTTTCTTCAACTGTAAAATGAAAGAACCTCTAAGGTCCCTCTGAGCTGTACGATGTTATAAGGAACTGTCATCATTATAGCTCCAGCTGAAATTTAGAAGACAACATAAGGAACAAAGACAGAGATCACCCCCAAAATCCTTACCTTTGAAACCAAAGTGTTCAGGAAGCGGTACTCTATCAATATAGAATGTAAGCTGAAAAATTAAAAAAGCAGACACAGAAGTAGGGGTGGGAGGAAGATGAGGGAAGAGGAAGCCTCATAGGATGTGTTAAATCAGACACTATATTTTCTTTCCCACTAGAAAAGTGAATTTGTACTCTTTCTATGACATGGAAATGGATGTAATGAGGTTTAAAATCTGGAACTACTAGGCCCCTTTCCTTAATATTTTTTCATTGATTCATTTTATATTCTTAACCTTTTGTTTTTCAGATGAATGTTGTTATTATTTTTTCTAGCTTGATAAAATAATTATTTGATATTTTGATTGGTATGGCACTGAATAAGTAACTTAGATTAGTTAAAATTGTCAGTTTATTATATTGGCTTGGCCTACCCATGAGCAATTAATATTTCTCCAATTGTTTAGATGTATCATGTGGGATACAGCCAAAGCAGTACTTAGAGGAAATTTTATATCTGAAAATGCTTACATCAGTAAAATAGAGAAAGATCAATGAATTGGGCCTGCAACTAAAAAAATTAGAAAAATAACAAACTAAAAATCTCTAATTAAACACCAAAATAAACATACTGAAAATCAAGGGAGAGATGAATACAATTGAAAGTTAAAAAAAAAGCATAGAATTAATAAATTAAAATAGGAGCTGATTTTATGAAAAAAAATTAAATAGATGAACCACTGATTAATTTCATTTTTTTTCAAAGAGGAAATTACTAGTATCAGAAATGAAAAGGGTGAATGCACCACCAATGAAGATGAAATAAAGCAATTATTAGGAGCTATTTTGCCCAATTATATGCCAGTAAAATTGACAATTTAAGTGAAATGAATGAATATTTACAAAGATATAAATTGCTCTGATTAACAAAAGAGGAACTAGAATACTTAAACAATCATATCTTGGGGGGGGGGGGAATGTACAAGCCATCAATGAGCTTCTTAAGAAAAAACCTCCAGAACCAGATAGATACACAAAGTGAATTCTACTAAACATTTAAAGAATATTTAATCCTAATACTATACAAGCTATTTGGAAAAAATAGGTAAAGGAGAAGTCTTGCTCAATTCCTTTTGTGACAGAAATATGATTTTGATAACTAAACCAGGGATAGCAAAAAAAGAGAAAGAAAACTATAAATCATTTTTTTTAATGAATATCAAAGCAAAAACTTTACACAAAATACTAGCAGGGAGACTATAGTGATATGTTACAACAACCATACACTATGACCAGGTAGGATTTATACTAGGAATACAAGACTGGTTCAATATTGGTAAAACAATCAGCATAATTGACCATATCAAAAATAATAACAACATAATTCGTATGTTTATAGCAATAGATGCAAGGGAAAAAAAACTTTTGACAAAATACAATACCTATTCCTATTAAAAATACTAGAAACCATAGGAATCAAGGGAGACTTTCTTAAAATGATAAGTGGTACCTATCTAAAACCATGAGTTAGTATTGTATGCAATGGGGATAAACTTGAAGCCTTCCCAATAAGAACAGGAATGAAGAAAGGATGTACATTATCACCACTATTATTCAATACTGCACTGAAAATGTTAGCTATAGCAATAAAACAAGAAAAAGAAATTGAAGGAATGAAACTAGGCAAAGAGGGAGTAGAACCATCACTCTGTGATACAGTTTGATGGATACTTAGAGAACTCTAAATAATCAAGTAAAATAATAAAGAACGTTAGTCAAATTGCAGGCTATGAAATAATCATCACCATTTCTCTATACTACCAGCAAAAACCTAGGAGGAAGTTAAAATAACTACAGATATAAGATACTTGGGAGTCTGCCTGCCAAGACAAATCCAGGGATTATATGAACACAATTACAAAACATTTTTTACACAAATAAAGACAGATCTAAACAACTAGAAAAATATTAATTGTCATGGATAGGCCAAGACAATATGATAAAAATGACAATTCTGCCTAAGTTAATTTACTTATTCAGTACCATACCAATCACACTACCAAAGAATTATTTTATAGAGCTAGGAAAAATATTAACACAATTCATCTGAAAGAATAAAAGGTCAAGAATAGCAAGTGAATCAATGAAAACTTTTGAAGGAAAGTGGCTTAGCAGTTCCAGATTTCAAACTATATTACAAAGTGGTAATTATCAAAACAATCTTTTATTGGTTAAGAAATAGAGTAGTAGATCAGTGGAATAGGTTAGGTACATGATACATATTAGTAAATAACTATAGTAATCTAGTATTTGATAAACCCAAAGAACCATGCTTTGAGGGTAAACTCATCATTTGACAAAAACTGCTGGAGAAACTTGAAAAGTTTGCAGAAACTAAGCATACACCAAAATTCACACCATATACCAAGATAAGGTCAAAATAGACCAATGATCTAAATATAAAAGGTGATATAATCAGTAAACTAGAAGAGTGTGGAAAAATATACAGATCTGTGGATAACAGAAGTATAGAACTAATCAAGAGATAGATAGATCATCACTGGAAGTAAAATACATGGTTTTGGTTATATGACATCAAAAAGCTATTGCACAAATAAAGTTAATCCAGTCAAAATTATGGGGAAAACCAGAAACTGGGAGGGAGTGGATTTATAGCAAGTTTCTCTGATAAAAGCCTCATTTCTCAAATATATAGGGAACTGAGCCAAATTTATAAAAACTGGTGCCATTCTCCAGTTGATAAATGATCAAGGATGTGAACAGGCAGTTTTTAGTAGAAGAAATAAAGCTATCAATAGTCATATAAAAAAAGTTCTAAATCACCACTGATTAGAGAAATGAAAATTAATTGAAAATTTAATGAATTTTTAATGAACTGTTTCCATTTTAAAAATTTAATTTTTAATGAAAATTAAAACAACTCTAAGATACCACCTCATACCTCTCAGATTGGCTAACATGACAGAAAAGGAAAATGACAAATGCTTAATGGGACGTGGAAAAATTGGGACACTAATGGACTGTTAGTAAAGTTATGAATGAGTCTAACCATTACGGAACTAAGGCCAAAGAGCTATAAAACTTTGCATACTCTTTGATCCAGCAATATGTCTACTAAGCCTCTATCTCAAAGAGAACAAAGAAAAGGTAAAAGGACCTATTTGTATAAAAAATTAGAGCAGTTCTTTTTGTAGTGGGAAAGAATTGGAAATCAAGGGGATGCCCATCAACTGAGTAATGGCTGAACAACTTGTGGTATATGGGTGTGATGTAATACTATTGTGCTATGAGAAATGATGAGAAGGATGGTTTCAGAGAAACCTGCAAGGACTTTAGGAACTCATGCAAAGTGAAGAGAGCAGAACCAGGAGAATATTGTACACAGTAACAGCAATATTGTAAGGCTGATCAACTTTGAAAGACTCAACTGTTCTGATCAAGACAATGATCCAAGACAAACTCAAAGGAACCCTGATCAAAAATGTTATCCACCTCTAGAGACAAAACTGCTGAATTCTGAATGTGTATTGAAGCATACTTTTTTTTACTTTCTTTAGTTTTTTTTTCTTTTTGTCTGTTTTCTTTTGCATTATAGCTAATACATAAATATGTTTTCATGACTTCATATGTATAATTGATATAAGAATTTCTTGCCTTCTCAAGGAGGAGGAAGGGATAGGAAGGAGGGAGAGAATTTGAAACTCAACATTTAAAAAAAATTCTTAAAAATCTTTACATGCAATTGAGAAATGTTTAATAAAATACATAAAATATTTTTAAAATAAATTTAATCTACATTATTAATATTTTCTCTGTTATTTTATAAATCTAGTCAACTGACAGATCAGCAAATTTTTCAATTTATAAACATTCACACAAAATTTAATAATTGGCTCTCCGAGAAGGTTCAAACTGTATCCAACATACCCCTGGCTGTAGAGTGTATGTGTTGGGGAAAGAGTTAATCTACTTAAACTTGTGAGTGAAAGGGACGAGTTTTTGTTGTTGTTGTTGTTGTTGTTGTTGTTGTTTTTTACTTCCTCAGATCATTTTATCATGGAATTGTGACATTGTAAAATATAGTTCAATGACATTTTTCTGACTCTCAGTCTTGGGGTCATCTAGAAACTCAACCAGTGGCAGGTCCCATATAATACTTGAGCAGAGTCAAGACTGGGGTCAGAAGACTTTGAGCTGAAAGTGACCTTATAGGACATGAACTCCAACTGATTTCATAAATGAGGGAACTGAGGCCAAGAAAGAGTAAATTATTTGCCCAGGATCACAGAACTTATTAGTGTCTGAGACACGACTTGAACTCAGGTGCTCCTAACTCCAGGCCTAGTCTCTCTACTTCACCTCTTATCTGGTGCTGTCCAAGAGTGCTCACCCCTATGTCATTCTCTGCAAGAAGCTCCAGGTTTCCTAATGTGTTGTCCTCTCAAAGATAGAGAATGGCATTGTGAGCTTCATTGGCCCTCTTATTCCTTGCTGCGTAGAATCCCAGACTCTCAGATTTATATGGGACTTGAAGAATCATTTAACCCAATGATTATTCCATGATATGGGCAATTCCAAAAACAACCTTCCTACCAAGTGCTCATCTAGCCGTTAATGAAGAACTTCTAGTAAAGGGGATTTTCCAAAACTATTGAGACAGATTTGATTATTAGAAAATGTTTTTCC